AAAAATCTCACAAAGATCGCGCGCACGATTCAGGGAAAGAGAAATATCTCACAAAGATCGAGCGCACGATTCGTGGAAAGAGAAAAATCTCACAGATCGTGCGCACGATTCAGAGTCCCGACCCCAAAGATCTCGCTCAAGCAGGCAACTACAACAGAACCTCTCGCGCGGCTACGGAATGGCAAGGCGCACGCGAAAAGCCCCGGGAATCGCGCCCAGGCCCGAGTCAATCAAGCGAAGACCTAAACAGAGGGCGTTCACAGAACACCCTCTGATGGGGGGCAATTGTTGGGCATGTGACTCGGACCTAGCCGCGCAAGGTAAGGCGCGCCGACATAAGGCGCGCACGAATGCCTGAGACGCGGCACAACGTGTGAGATATTAGAGGATGTGCGCGGATGGAAAGAACCAACGCGCGAAGACCCTAAACCCCTCACAAGCTGCGCGCGGGTGAGAAGCATCAAGGCGCGGAGAGACGGGCGCGTCACAAGCCACGCGCGTACTGAGAGTGCCAAGCGAGTACTAAGCCACAGGGCTACGAGGAGTCTCGCCCACAATCCCCGAGGGCCGGCCACGTTGGGATCCGAGAGATGGTCGTAGGTACACCTCTGACACGTCCTAGGTAGAGGCATGGCCTAAATCCCTGACGTGTCAGTGGTCATGTCAAGGTCATGTCAAGGTCAAAATACCATCATGTAATCCACCCACTCACCCACCACCATGTAGCCTATAAATATGGCATTTACTCCGATGGGTGAGGGGATGACATTTTTAGCATTCTATCTCTAAGAACATCAACTTCTCTCTCTAAAAGACCGATTCTCTCAACCTCCCGGTTCTTTGTTCTACGCCATACCGTGGATTTTCTGTTGTTTACTCTTCTTGACCCACTTTCTTTCCCGAACCTCCCTCCTACACTCAGTTAGGTTCAAACAAGTTAGATATTTTAGTTAATTCTTATCATCTTAAATCGCCACATATGTAAACACAATTAAATATGAGTGCTCTCGGTTCTTACGCATTGAAAACAGAAGAGAGCAAATGAAAATGGACCGACCATAGACAATATCACCACAACAAGGCCACGGATAGAAAACAACAAATGAAAGCCTTGCGTAATGTTGAAGCCTTTTCTTTTCTTTTCGCCGGACTCCTTCAGCGGCGGCCGGTTTAGTTTCTACCTTTTTCCTCTTCCCCTTTTATCCCTGAAATCGTCCCCTCCTTTTCTTCTGTTTTCCCGTTTCCCCAAATCTATCTACATTTCCGTGCCCGTTTCTTCTCCTTCTCTGCTTGATTCTGCATAGGATCTCGCAAAGCAGCGGGTACAGGAGAAACCGTTGACTTGACGCTGCCTTAAATTCCCAACTGTACCAGACAGTCCAACACAGTAAACCATGAACTCGGATCCCGACGACTACCACACATTCTCTGCCGCTCCGCCTCCTCCCGTCACCGGAATCCCCGCCGGAATCAATGGCGTCGCCATCGGCTACGTCGTGCGAGGGCCGCAGATGAGCTTCCAGGACCAAGTCCGCGAGTTCTCCAAAGGCGCGGCCGAGCTGAGCGTCCAATTCGCCAAAGGCTGCAAGGACATTGTGTTCCAGACCCTGGGCCGCGAGGATGCGTTCCTCGCCAGGAATTTCGGCAGGAATTCCTTCGCCGGGAAGCAATTTGGACGCGGCTGTGACAGGATCGGGAAGAGATTCAAGGCTTTCAATGACTATCTGCCCGAGGATAAAGATCCCGCCCACGCCTGGTCCGTCATCGGCTTCGTCTTCGTTCTTGCATTTGCAGGTACGGAGGTTTCCACTTCTTGGATGGGAGAGTTAGGCATGACGATCGATTGAACAGTAACCTTTAGGCGGATTCTTGACGATTTCTGTTTGTTCTGGGCTTAAGATCAGTAGACTAGTAGAGAACCTTTTGATACTGTTTCTTGCTTTACTACTGTTCTAAACAACCTAAATCTATTCTGAATTCTGATAGTGTGGTGTGTGGGCTACTTTGTGCACAGTGTTGAGTGTAAACACCAACTACGCTACCACGTCTGCACCAGCAGTGAAAAAGGTGTTCATTCATCCGCCTAGTGCTGAGCGCTTGTTGCTGCCTGACGCTAGATACATGGCGTACAGAGAGCAAGGGGTTTCAGTTGATAGAGCTAGATTCACGATGATAGCTCCTCACAGCTTTCTGTCATCTAGGCTTACAGGTCTGGTAGTCCATGGTTCAAAACGATAGGCATACATTTGGGGTTTCTACTTCTGCAAACTTGGCTGATTTCTGTTTTCTGATGAAAATGTAGGAATACCTGGAGTAAAGGCTTCACTGTTGGAAGAGTTTGGTGTTCGGTTGTTGACGTATGATCTTCCTGGGTTTGGTGAGAGTGATCCTCATCCATGCAGGACTCTGCAGTCGTCTGCATCGGATATGTTGTTCTTGGCTAATGCTTTGGGTGTTAAGGAGAAGTTCTGGGTCGTGGGGTACTCAAGTGGGAGCATGCATGCTTGGGCTGCTCTTAAGTACATTCCTGAGAAACTTGCAGGTAGCATACCTGCGCTTTCTTTCTCTCTTGGCTTCTGTTTGTACTGTACATTATCATTAGCAGCACATTTTGTTGGTTGCTTACGTGAATGTCCTCGTCCTTCGCTTAGCTTAGCTGTTTTCGAAATTGCAATGTGTAGCTGTCCCCTTTTCACGAATATACCAAGACAAGTCATGTTCAACAGTGCTTTAAGTGTTTAGAAAGAATGAAAAGAGCTGTTTGAAACAATTTTTGTCAAGAACCTTCTTCAATGGTACTTGCACCTTATGTTTCTGCAAAAGCTTCTTGACCTTTTACTTCACTGCTTTTTTGTGTGTGCTGGATCCATATTGACTACATTCAATGAAAATGATTTTAAAAAATGGAGTTTAAATGAACTATAACTGGCCTTGTATGTGGCAGCAACATATCCTTCAGAGTTAAGCATTCTCTGAGGCTTCTTATGTTACTTAAAGTTGGAGTAATGAAAACCTAAGAATTTCAGTTAGCACATTGTCATGTACGAATCCAACGAATTAAAAATCATGTGATTTGGACTTCATTTGCACCCCCTCCTTCACTAACACTTGGCTCATTCTTCTGGTCTCGTGTGCTTTGAAGCACATGAATATAGTTAACGAGATTGCGATGTATGCTCTTAAAACCAAAATTTGCTTCAGATCCCACGCTTTTTTCCTGGATTATGGCAATGAGTATTTGGAAATGTACAAGGTTTCTGCTGTAACACTAGAAGTAGTTATCTGAATCAGCCATAACCTAAATTGCAGGTGCAGCCATGTTTGCTCCAATGGTTAATCCGTACGATGCATTGATCACCAAGGTGGAGAGACGGCTAATATGGGATAAATGGAGTGGAAGAAGGAAATCTATGCTTTTCTTGGCTCGGAGGTTTCCCAGACTACTTGGCTATGTGTACCGCCGAAGCTTCCTCTCTGGGAGGCATGATAAGCTTGATGTGTGGCTCTCTCTCTCACTGGGCAATAGGGTGGGTAATTTTATGGACTATGAGGATATATATGGCTATAATCACAGTAATTGATTTGCATAACTGCTAGGACATGTGTGTTACTCATTTGATATTACCAGTTATAGATGGTCATGATGTGAAATGATAGTGGCTGAGAGTTAAGGGACGGAGACGTATTGCATTTCTATATTTCTTTTATTAATCGCCTATTTCTTGAACCAATGGTCATATTTCAGGACAAGGCTTTGGTAACGGATCCCATCTATCAAGAATTCTGGGAAAGGGATGTGGAAGAGTCGATCCGTCAGGGGAATGCTAAGCCATTCATAGAGGAGGCTGTTCTACAAGTGTCGAATTGGGGTTTTAGCCTTGCAGACATCAAACTGGAGAAGAAAAAACAAGGCGGAGGCATCCTTGGTTGGGTTAAGGTCTTACTAAATGGAAATGTAGATGAATATACTGGTTTCCTTGGACCAATACACGTATGGCAGGTACGACATCTGAAACTGAGATCTTTGCTGTAGCATCAGCATAAGTTCTTAGCTCATTAAGAAGGCCTTCTTACAGAAGCAGCATAATGATGTGAAACCATTTAGTTGACCTTGTTTTGGATTGTTAACTTCTCCAAACCTTTCCATTTGATTGCACAGTTAAATTAAATAGACCATTTGATGTGAAACAGGGCATGGATGACAAGGTGGTTCCGCCAGGGATGACTGATTTCGTGCATCGAGTTCTACCGGGAGTTGCAGTGCACAAGCTACCATATGAGGGTCACTTCACATATTACTACTTCTGTGATGAATGCCACAGACAAATCTTCACCACACTCTTTGGAACTCCACAAGGCCCCTTGAACAACTTCACAACAACAGAACTACTAGCAGCAGATCAAACTCCACTCGAGACCGGCCACGTAGAGGAGGAAGGATTGGAGGCCAACCAACCTTCATTGCTTCAAGAAGATACCACAAATGAAACCGAGAATTTAGACAATCCAGCTTATTAGGTACAACGTTCATCAAGTTTTGAACTATTCTGGAGTGGTGTATATGAAATAGGCTTTGCTTCTAAAACTCCAGGAGACAAAGGGTTCCCGAAGAAGAACTATATACATAGTTACTACGTCAATAGTGGAAAAAGTTGTACTGATCTATCTTACAGTTAACTGACATGCGAATTGCAGATAAGTTTCTGGTGCTTTTTTTGCTTATCCAACAGAAATATCTGTGAGTTCATCAAGAACAAGTGCAGCTTCTTTCTTGACACTAACGTAGCGAGGGCAGCACATTTATGTCTCCGGGCCGGGCCCATGCGTAATGACAATGCAAACGGAAAAAATGTCTCTCTGGCAGGCCCAATCATGTCCAAGCCCAGATACACCTCCGATAGCCCGTCTCGCGATAAGTGGATCTTATTCCCGTCGTTGGCGGTTGGCCCACTTATCTTTCTTCCGGCGAGTAAGCTAATCGGCGAGGAAGAGCCGGGCGCCGCGCTTTTTCCGCACGCACCCAAGACCCAACCAAGGGACTAGAATTAATTCTCTCTCCATTTCTCCGACTAGCGAACTCATCAGTGCAGTGGAACCATTTCCGCAGCTCCAAGTGGTCTGTTTGCTGATTTCTCTCATGTCGGTTCAAATCTTTCTGCTGTATATAGTAGTCGCAGGAGGAGCTTTATTAGTATAATGCAGAGGATCCTCTCATCTTCTCGTACTCTCGCCCTCCCTTTCTCTTCTTCTGCTTCCCCTTCCTCTTCCAGAGCCTTCTGCCGCAACTCCTTCCACTTCTTTCCCTCCTCCTGCGCAGCCCTATCTCGCTCTCTTACTCCTTCTTCTCCGCTTCACTCCATCATGCCTCAGGTAATTGCTCTGTTCTTCCTTTTCGGCTTTTTTGATCGTTGACCATGGGACTCCTTATGGCGCATTGCTTTGCGGCTTTCTGTGTTAATTTCCCACTTTCTCTGGTGTTCTGATCGGCGAACTGTTCAAGAGTTGTAATTCAATCCCGTTTCGTCTCCTTTCAAGATAATCGGAATTGCCAATGGTACAGTTTTTGCGGCTTGGTAAATTCGTTTCTGAATCTTTTCTTCTCCTGGCCGCTTGGTTCTCTGTTTCCTGTGTTCAATCGCTGGCGATTGGTTTCGCTTTTGTATCCTGAATGTGAGTTCATTTATGTTATGAGAGAAAGTGAGAATTGAAACGAATCGAGTATGTTGGTTTAGTAATTGGTTTCGGCTGAGTTAGGTTTAGAGCGCTCTTTCTTACTGAGCACTGTCATTTGCAGAGAAGAGGTGCACAGAAGGGACAGACATGGAAACCAAAGACTCAGGGTGATAAGTCCTCATCAGCAGCTGTTGATGAAGCGGTCACCAGTGGAATTGCCGGTCTTAATATAGCTGAAACCAATGGCCAGCCTCATGCTCAATCGTCACGACTGCAGTCTGGGAATGTGCAAGTCGTTAACCAGGGTGTTGTGCCAGGGAAAAAGGCTGTGTGGAAACCCAAGGCTTATGGAACTGTCAGTGGAGTTGATGGTGCGTCTGCCCAAAAGACAGTGGCTGATGGCCACAGAGTTGCTGTAGCTGAGAAGGCATCGTCTCCCAGAACTAGTGCTGCTTTAAGCCAATTGTTTAAGGCCAACGTGTTGGAGAACTTTACGGTGGACAACTCGACTTACTCCCGCAGTCAAATCAGAGCCACTTTTTATCCCAAATTTGAGAATGAGAAATCTGATCAAGAGGTATAGCGTGAATGTGCAGCCTTGCCTCTCCTTTCTGTTGGAATACATATTATTGTAAAGTTATTGATGACAGTAAACGTAAACATTCATTGCTTTGACCTACTTGCTCGCCGTCGATGGTTGAGTTGTTTGTTAAATCGTGTTTCTTGATCATTTCCAGATTAGGACAAGGATGATAGAGATGGTTTCCAAAGGATTGGCTAACATGGAGGTCAGTGATTTCAAGTGGCTTCGGAACATCTTGGATGGTTTAGCATTACAGTTTTACTTCCTCTTTTAGCTGAACCATGGTTTCAGTACATATAGAATTTTTATGTCTAATATTGCTGGAACATTCTTTGCTATGAAATCATTTTGTACATGGTGCAAAAACATTCTTGCTTTTAGCCATCCATCTGCAGCATTTGTTTATGCTGCTAATTTGATTACTGGCAATGGTTTCTCCAGCCTGATAGTCTTCCATTCATCTCTTTCAGTTGTTTGCTTAGTTTGTTAAGTAGAATAGTTATCTTTCAAAGGGTTTTGAATTATTTATTATATGCTTGATTACTAAGTTTCAATGAACTTACATTTTCCACAGGTTACTCTCAAACATTCTGGCTCACTTTTCATGTACGCTGGCAATAAGGGGGGAGCATATGCCAAAAATAGCTTTGGGAATATGTATGTGTTCTCTCTTGTCCTAAAATCTTTCTTTGCTCTGTAGCCTGCCCTTTCCTGTCATGCTCTGGCTATCACCTTTCCTATTTTCTACCAACTGTTTGAATTTCTGAACCATTGGTTGATGGAGCATAGTTTACCAACTATTTTCTATCAACTTTTCACTGATGTATACCTTCACATGCTAGGACAAGTTGTGCTAACCTTGTTTGTCCTACACAGATACACTGCCGTTGGTGTCTTTGTTCTTGGACGAACATTTCAGGAAGCTTGGGGAACTGCAGCTGCTAAAAAGCAAGTCGAGTTCAATGATTTTCTTGAGGTAATGTTAGAATATGTGGTTATTGCTATAAAAATACACAGGGAATTCCTGGTTATCTTGTCACCTGTTTCCTGATCTTATAACTGTAAATTGGGAAATATTCATTAATGTTAATCTTTGCTTCCAGAGACATAATATGTGCATATCAATGGAGCTCGTAACTGCTGTTTTAGGAGATCACGGGCAGCGGCCCAATGAAGACTACGGTATTTCTTCCTTCTTCAACTAGGGAGTCCTTCAGGATATCAGATAGAATCCTTTTAGACTTGTTCATTCAATTAATCTTAAGTTGTATTTCTTCCAGTATTTTGGTTTGACATGCTTGTTCCCTTTGCTTATAGTATCGTGTTTGCTTTGGTACAGTGGTGGTGACTGCGGTTACAGAACTGGGCAATCGGAAGCCAAAGTTCTACTCAACTCCTGAAGTCATTGCTTTCTGTAGAAAATGGCGCCTCCCAACAAATCATATCTGGTTGTTTTCAACAAGGTGAGTACATGATCATCATTGCGGATTTAGATGATGTTTCTACACTGCTATTATATTGCAAGTCATAGAAATTTGCTTATATGATTATCGAGAATGTTGGACAACGTGCACCCTGCTACCCTACCATCATGTCAAGTTCACTGTCTCCAAGATCATTTATTTGGCCTGCTGCAAAAAGATTTCTAAGCCAATGACATGAGATGCACATGTTGTATAATGATATGATATCATGTTTCTAATTACTGTTTTGCAATGAAGGAAATCTGCGACGTCTTTTTTCGCCGCCTTCGATGCACTTTGTGAAGAAGGAACAGCAACTACTGTATGCAGGGCCCTTGATGAAGTTGCTGATATATCTGTGCCAGGTTATTATCTACATTAACTCACTTCACCTTCCCTAGGTTTGCTGTTACTGTGCGGTCTGCAAGGAAGCAGTTGTGCATGAATAGGCCACAACCATTTTGCAGACTGCAGACTTCAGGGAAGCAGGGTTATTCAATATAGCCCATCATCCGTCATCTATGGGGAAATGAATCTTTTTTTTTTGTTAGCAGAAAGGAATTTATATCATCCTGAAGTGTTCCACATGCTTAGTGAATTATCTGATCCCATGGCTATGAGCATCACTAATATTGCTATAGCTGTATATCATTTTGATCGTGATACTTTTCTTTTCTGTTTCCCCCCCCCCCCCCCCCCCCCCCACTTTCCTGAGATTCTCGTTCTTGGTTATACTGATTCAGGTTCACAAGACCACATAAAGGCACAAGGTGAAATCTTGGAGGGTCTAGTGGCTCGTATCGTACCTCATGAGAGCTCAAAGCATATAGAGGAGGTCTTGAAAGAAAATCCTCTTCCAGCAGCAGATGGAGGTTTGATTTAATTCACTCAGCATTGACATATTTCTCCAGTCAGTTTGTACTTCTACGAAGTGGTGTTTAACCTCCTGACATGGTGGCTGTAATTCTCTAAACGGGGATCAAGTTCCTTCACTTCAATGAACTTATTAAACTTATTGACTTCTTATGTGAAGAAAATTGACATCCTTAAAAAAAGAGGATTTGGTTTTGCAAATGTGTGTCACTTATTCTCTTCACTCTTGTCGGCAACCCTGGTTCTTTTTGTCACTTGAAGTTCATTTCTTAAGCATGCATATTATGATATGTATAATTTGAACATAGATTTAGGTCACTTGATGTGTAGACCAAATTTCCCATGAAAGTTCTAATTACATCTTTGCGTAACAAATCCCTTTTCATTTCCTTCTATTGTACTGGGGAAGTTTGATTTTCTGCAAGACGAAGTTGTTAGTTTATTGGACTGAAATAAAACCTGTACTGCAGCTGGCATTGATTTGGGACCAAGCCTGCGGGAAATTTGCGCTGCAAATAGATCGGATGAGCAACAGGTGAGTTCTCTTCCAGTCATAGCATTTGTTTGCCTACGAAGGAGGTAGTTACATCATTTAAGAATCAACATTTGTGTGAAATTATCACTGCAGCAAATAAAAGCACTCCTTGAAAATGTTGGCCGTTCTTTTTGCCCCGACTCAGTAGACTGGTTCGGAATTGATTCTAGGGAGACACATTCGAGATCGTCTGAGGAAGTCTTCCATAGGCTACCAAAACCAACGAACGGTAATGGATGCAGTGAATCCTTTTCAGCTGTGTGGTTGATTTGATTTGCAGGTTGACCTTGTGTCTCTGCAAGACACGATGCCAACAGATAGGATTGTGGTTCTTCAAGGGAGCTATTCGGGAAGGGATCTGCAGGAGAAGTGCTGGTTCGGCTAACATACAAGGCATATGTGGAGGATGAAGATGATGAGAGGGCTGCTGAGCTGGAGTCTGTTAACACAGACACATTAGATGATGAAGTCGATAGGGATGAACTTGACGCAGTTTACGAACCTGCAGATCAAAGGGACAGGCCGGGAACCCAACCATATGCCTTCTCTCTCCTTCCTTAACGAACGGGCCGCAACAGTAGCAGAGAAGGAGACCTCTCTGCTTCCTCAACGGCGATGGGAGGAGCAACTGCACTCATCCGCTTCAGCCTTCCCTCTCCTACCTCACCGGCGACGGGCGGAGCAGCAACAACCAGCCGCTTCGGTCTTCCCTCTCCTTCCTCAACAGCGACGGGCGCCTCATCCTCAACGGCGACGGGCGCCTCCATCCCCAACGACGACTGGGCGGAGCAGCAACAGAGATCGCCGGCGACGGGATAGATAGAGAAGAGAAGAGAACGCGACTGAGAGGGATTATCACCGGTGACGGACGGGATTGGCAATTATGGGTTAGGGATTTATCGCCGGCGACCACGGGATTGTCACTGGGTGCGGGATTTAGGGCGATGGCTGGCAGAGAGTTTTGAAAATTGGGGGTTTCCGTTTTATTTATTGGGGGTAGAATTGTTTGTTTAGTTAATTTAGGGCGTAAATTTTAAAAAGTTAGGGCGTTAAATAGGAATTCAGTGGTAAAAAATGGGGTTGAAGTAATGGATTTAACTTGGTTACGGTGAAATCACTTTTTTTTTTGTTTTCTCGGGTAGTAAACCACGAATGCATCACATCTCAATAGATTATGAGTTTGTTTAATGATGTTGAAATTTATGATTTTATCGTTATTAGCGATGACCGTGATTAAATTATGTTTCAAACATTCGATTTGATGAAATATTTCAAATTGACACAATTCGGAAGTGACAAATCTAGAAAATGAACACGAGTTAAGTGATGTCTTCCGGGCATGACTCCTTTAGTTGATCCTTACTCATAATCATGGAAATACATTTTCATCTTCTTTCGACTCATCACTCTCACTTTGTTGTATTCTGAGTACATATCACGAGTTCATTTTAATGAAATTAGATCCACCAATACTTAAAATTACTCACAATTCACAATCAAATATGTGTCGAAAATCATCAAAGAGCCACTTGAGTTATGTTGGGCATGTGACTCGGACCTAGCCGCGCAAGGTAAGGCGCGCCGACATAAGGCGCGCACGAAGGCCTGAGACGCGGCACAACGTGTGAGATATTAGAGGATGTGCGCGGATGGAAAGAACCAACGCGCGAAGACCCTGAACCCCTCACAAGCTGCGCGCGGGTGAGAAGCATCAAGGTGCGGAGAGCCGGGCGCGTCACAAGCCACGCGCGTACTGAGAGTGCCAAGCGAGTACTAAGCCACAGGGCTACGAGGAGTCTCGCCCACAATCCCCGAGGGCCGGCCACGTTGGGATCCGAGAGATGGTCGTAGGTACACCTCTGACACGTCCTAGGTAGAGGCATGGCCTAAATCCCTGACGTGTCAGTGGTCATGTCAAGGTCAAAATACCATCATGTAATCCACCCACTCACCCACCACCATGTAGCCTATAAATATGGCATTTACTCCGGTGGGTGAGGGGATGGCATTTTTAGCATTCTATCTCTAAGAACATCAACTTCTCTCTCTAAAAGACCGATTCTCTCAACCTCCCGGTTCTTTCTACGCCATACCGTGGATTTTCTGTTGTTTACTCTTCTTGACCCACTTTCTTTCCCGAACCTCCCTCCTACACTCAGTTAGGTTCAAACAATTGGCGCCCACCGTGGGGCCAAGAAGAAACGCAGAGGAAAATCTACCAATGGCAGAACGCAACCACGACCAACCTGACGAAGCGACGCCAATCAAGGCAATGACCAACCCAAGGGCGTTCGCAGAAGCCAGCGACCTTAACGCGGTGCTCCTCGAAGAAGAAGAGCCCGAAATGACAGCCAAAGAAATGAGGGAGCTGGTGACAAAGCAAAACAACGTCATAGCTGACATGCAGAAACAAATGAGCCAAGTCATCGCGCTCATGATGAACAAGGAGGCCGCGCCAACAGTAGACGCAACGGCAGTCGCGCCTCAGCAAGCCTTGGGAGAAGCGTCGGGAACTGCCCAACCACCACAACACGCGCCGACGGAATTCCCCGCGTGCGAAACGCAGGGAATCGAACCACCAGGGCGGGCGGACCTCAGCTTCTTAGAGCAACACTTGTCTCCGCAATACCGACCCAACCCGCCCAAGAGGATCCTCCACCAGCCGTTGAGCGCGCAAATTATGGCGGAGCACCTAAGCGGGGCGCCACCCACCCTCCCAACATACAATGGCACGACCGACCCAGAAGACCACGTGAGCACCTTCTGCTTGCGCATGCAACTCCAAACCAACTCCAACGCGGCGCTGTGCAGAACCTTCCCGTCAACATTTTCTGGAATATGCCTCGACTGGTACAACAGACTCCCGAACGGAATCATCCGCTCGTTCGAAGAGTTCATACTCCTGTTCACAACAAAGTTCGCATCCCAGAAGAGGCGTCCTCTGCATCTTAAGGCGTTGATAGATATCAGGCAGAAAGAGGGGGAGAGCCTGAGGGCTTTCTACGCTCGATGGTCCAGGGTGGCAATGGCCGTCCGCGATCTTACCCCGGAAACTGCTGCCCATCATCTCATAGAGGCCACTTGCAACATGGAGCTCAAGCGGGCGCTAGCAAAGAGGCCTGTAACACTATCCACGGAATTGGAAATGAAAATCGAGAAGGCAATCACGTTGGAAGAGACTCTCGGGGCGGGATCGGTCAGGCGCTTCGAACCGGCAAAGTCACAGCGCGAAGAACAGGGGCGTCGACAACCTCCGGCCCCGATCCCACGAGACCAATTGGTGCAGCTGCACAGTGGCCCAAAAATACACCCGCCTCCCCCGCAAGAGCAAGCTCAGCGCCGGCGATCGCCAGATAGACGGGCGTCCAACACCTACACGCCACTTAACGACTCCGTGAGAAACGTATTCCACGTTCTCCGCGAGAAGGGCTACAAGCTCAATTGGCCTGCTCCGTTGAAGTCCCGACCTCATATGCGCGATCCGAACAAGCACTGTGACTTTCACAGGGCAACAGGCCACTGGACAGAGGAGTGCCGGGAGCTACGGTACGAAATCGAGGGCCTCGTACGGCGAGGGTTGTTGACCGAGTTCACTCATGTCAAAGAGGAACAAGTTGAGGGCCCCCAGAACCCGCCACCTCCTCCACAGACCGACTAAAACGACGCCGGCGGCGCGTACGTGGTACGCAAAGAAATAGGGGTGGTTACGGTAGAAGGAGACCGCCCCAAGAAGAAAACCAAGCGAGAGCGCGCAACGGAATGCGCGATTGTAGACGCGCGGACGAAGTTCAACCTGAGCTTCGACGACGCGGAATTCCCACGAGGAGTCCCATCAGAAGACCCACTCATCATCACCGCGCTGGTTGCTGGATGCAAGATCCACCGTCTGCTGATAGACGGAGGTAGCGCAGCTGACATCCTCTTCCAAAGCACCATCGACAAAATGGACATCGACCCGCGCTTAATCAAACGCGCGCAAGGCAATCTGGTCGGGTTCTCTGGAACGAGGGTCCCAGTAATTGGAGTAGTCACCCTCCCAGTAGTAATCGGAGACCAAGAGCCGCGCATCTCTAAGCAAGTGGAATTCACGATTGTCAACTGTAAGTCGGCACACAACGGCATCCTTGGCCGACCGTTCCTGGCGAAATTCATGGCCCTCCCATCAACGTGCCACCAAAAGCTCAAATTCCCCACCCAAACAGGGGTTGGAGAGGCGCGAGGAACGACATGGGAAGAGCGCGATGAGGTGCGCCAAACCAACATCGTCGACACAAGAGCAGAAGAGCCCCGCCCGGAGTCCATGGATTCCGACTTCGAAGTCGCGTTGGATCCCGCCGAGCCGACTAGGAAGATACGCATCTCCACTCACGTCAGCAGTGACGCGATCGAACCGCTCGTAGCCTTGTTGAAGGAATACAAGGAGCTGTTCGCTTGGTGCACAGAAGACATGCCAGGAGTGCCCAGAGAAATAGCCCAGCATTGCCTCGCGGTCCCAATCAACGCGGAACCAAGGCAACAAGGGCGAAGGATATTCACCGGCGACAAACTGAAAGCCATAGAAGAGGAGGTAGCGCGCCTACTAGCGGCAGGATTGATCCGCCCCGTCAAATATCCAAAGTGGCTGGCAAACGTGGTCTTGGTTAAAAAATCATCGGGGGCCTGGCGGATGTGCGTCGATTACACCACGATCAATAAAGTATGCCCGGGAGACCCTTACCCCCTACCGCGCATCGACCAACTGATCGACGCAACCGCCGACCACGAGACGTTATCCTTCCTCGACATGTTCTCAGGATACCACCAAATCCCAATGTCCATCGAAGACGAAGAGAAGACGGCGTTCATGACACCGTTCGGAAACTTTTGCTTCGTCGGGATGCCATTCGGGTTGAAGAACGCAGGCGCAACGTACCAGAGAATGATTGATGCAGTGTTCTCCCGGCAGATTGGGCGGAACATTGAGGCATATGTGGATGACCTTATCGTCAAAACAAAGGCGGGCAACTCACACCTGGAAGACCTGCGCGAGACATTCGAAGCCCTCCGCCAGCACAACCTCCGCCTCAACCCACTCAAGTGCGTTTTCGGAGCCGAAGCAGGGAAATTCCTTGGATTCATGATAACGAAGCGCGGCATAGAGGTTGACCCAAAACAAATATCCGCAGTCCAACAACTTCGAGCGCCGAGGAACGCAGTGGAAATCCAATCTATGAACGGCAAAATAGCGGCACTGGGAAGGTTCATTCCTAGGTCTGCCGACAAGTGTGCTCCCTTCTTCAAGACGCTCAAGAATGGGGCGCGTTTCACGTGGTCCCCGGAATGCGAAGCGGCATTCCAAGAACTCAAGGCATATCTTGTATCCCCCCCTGTACTGACTGCTCCCAA